ATTTAGGAATACGAGGTATAGATAATGGATGGTACTATATTTGAGGTCCCACAATTCACACTGCATGTCAGTTCACAAACACTTCTGATCTAATGGAGCTTGAGAAGATCTGCCAGGAAAGGGGATAAACCGCCCAAATACAGGCGATCAAGAAGACCTGAAACTGTAATTGCTGTCAAAGAGGCTTCGACAAAGTACTGAATTAAGGGTCTGAATACTTTTGTAAAGGACAGCATTTTCAGTTTAAACTTGAATAAATTCACAGTCATTGTGGGTTAGTGCATATATAAACTGGTGAGGAAACAATGGCATTTTAGACCATTTAAAATGTGCAAAAAGTGCCTGAATAATTTAGGCCCCAGTACATGTACGCACTGACAAACACACCTACCTTTACTGCAGATGTCATAGGCTTCTTAACCTGACCGTCATTTTGAAGGTATGGCCTGAGGATTAAAACTGATTAAATTAATCTGCTCCAGAGAAACTAAACAACAGCATTTGATGAAACACACAAGTTGTTTTTTCTTACTTGGGATTTGGGAGTTTCAGCTTTCCCTTTGTGGCCAGGTATTCCATCAACTTCTGCTTACGCAGCTCTGTGACAGAAAATTACACAAATTCAGCACAGATCCATGATCTTCAACTGTAAAGTTCACATTAAAAAGTTATACTTAATATCTGGACTAAAATTGTTCAAGCTTAAAACCCTGCCACATATTGTGTCTCTAATGTTTGTGTATATATACTCCATGTAAATACAGAACTCTGTTACACTGAAAGACTTCTCTTCAAGTTGACTTGAGCAGGGGAGGAACAGGGGAGAGACGATGATTTTTTTTTTTTTAAACCAACTTTATCAGCAGCAGCTGAGTCACATTATGTGAGACTGATCTTTCATCAGCCTTTCAGCTTATTTGATGTCTCTTATTAATAACAAACACGACAAAGCAGTGATGACACTAACATCATGAATGCACTCAACATGTTTGCTGAAGCTTGGAGTAGTTGAATATATCTGTAAACATGTTCTGTCAGGCATGATGTTAATTATGACAAAGTAAGGACTAAATTAATTATATGATAAAAAAATAATTGTATCACTGATTATTCTGCCAGTTATTTTATATCTTAATGTCTTTTTGTGTGTGTATTTAAACAATCACATATCAGAATTGTTCCCCAACTGTTGCGGCTTCACTCTGCAATCCAAATTCAACATTTAGGCTCAAGTGTATAACGTGTCACCATCTGCAGCCACATGACATTAAGTTTCCATGGAATGAACTTATTCAGACACTTATAGGTCTTATGCTGATTACATAAGTAGCATTATGGTAGTAAAGCTCATCCTTCTTTGGAGCTCCCAGGTACTTTGTGCTAACATTCAAACTTCAACAAGACTGATGTCAAGCTTCTTTGTGACTTGTCTGACCAGGGTGAAATTTAAAACATTGTAAGACTTATGTAATACTGCAAATTAATACTTGTACTGCAGTTAAAAAGTTCAACAAAGTAGGAGGGCATAAGAGAAAATATGGCCTGGAATTATTTATCAATCACATTTTTTTCTATATCCAAAAGGTTTATAACAATAATTCCTAACATCATGTATTAAATTAACACAGACTACACTAGTAAAAACATCAGGAAAGCAGAAAATTTAAACTTACTAATGACTCTAAATTAATTTAGTGTTTTCTATCAAGACTTTTAATGCCACATGAAATTCACAGAAAAACAACAGGGCAAGAGGTTAACTATTTATTAAAACGAGTGTATAACTCTATGTTATCTATGGGAGACAATGAGCTTCCTAACATTAACGTTGCTGCAGCAGTAACAGTGTTTGCTTCACGGTGCTGACTGAAACACCACAAAAGGTTGAACAACCTTATAATACACCGAGTATCACCGTTAATTCATATGGTTTGGAGACGTCACGTTTCATATCTAGCATGAGTGTCAACATGGCTTCGCTAAACAATGCTATTTGAGCCAGCTTTTAGCTACACAACTTCATAGGACCGCAAACCTTTTCTGGAAAGTGATACTGTCTCTCCTTCTTCCATATCTGTTGAATTCAGTTTCTTCTCTCGACTTTGTCGAGAATTGTTATGAAAATACCTCGCTGGAGTTGTTGTTGTTGTTTCTTTTTTGTTTTGTTTTTATCGTGCCAATTTACGATACGTCACCCATCGATAAAGTCTACACGTTAAAGTAGCTTCAACTGATCTCGCGCTTCCGGATTTGAAATTACCAGTAGTGCCCGCCTCCTCTTCTCTGATTGGACAATTTTGAAATTTTGAAAAGTCAGCACACATGCGCAACAGGAGCGCAGGAGCGCTTTGATTGGAACAAATGGCACAGCTACTAGCAAAACTGGGGAAAGTGCATGTTTTCTTGATATTTGAAGTAAAAAAAAGTCAACACAAGCAATGCAGCAAACATTCATTCAAAAGTTAATGCAACCTTATTTCATCTATTAAAAATAGAAAAAAAAATTGTGATTGTGGCATGTGCAAAAGTTGGTTAAAAATCTGCGATGCTTGTGTACACAAATGACAGTAAGACAAAAAAAATTTTTCTACAGTGGTGCAAAAAAAAAATCCTCTCTAGGCTACTCATCTACTTTCAAAATAAAAAAAAGGCAATTGTATTATTAGAAAATATCAAAATGTAAAAAGAATATTATTGATATATTTTGTAAATACTTTTACTATGACTATTACTGTTACTTTGATTATTATTACAAAGGCATCAGCTGGTTTGATTTCATATGTCCAGTTAAAGACAAGACAATGAACCCCCAGTTGCTCCTGGTGATAACTCCGGTGGGTTAATGTGTGAGTGTTTGGGAGTGCAAATGGGTGAATGGCCAAGTAATGTGAAAACGCTTTGAGTGTGCATAGAGAAGCGCTATACAACTATAAGACCATTTACAAGCATTGCAAAAAATACCCAAGTAAAGTACCTCAAAACTGCACTAATAGTATGCATACAAAACAGTAATACATACTCTCTTGCACATTGCTAAATATTATTACCTTTAAGCAAATAGCACAATGTTACTGATATGTGGGAAACCTGGAGATAGGATCATTCAAATGTGCTGTCATTTGTGATATTCTGTGTGCACTGGAAATAATAAAGACACTTGTCTTGTATTGTAGTAATTTCTCAGTGTTTGAGATGTCATTTACCAAATCCTGCAAGAACATATAAAACACAAATTTATAAGTTTCAAGTTATAAAGCTTTATTAAAGCATCACAACACAACATGTACATAAAGTTAGTAAGCAGATTTCAAATATATATCCACCTTAAAATACTGCATAAATAAATAAATACAATATATAAAAGCATTAACTGTGTCATGTAAATACACAGACAGCACAATGATGCCACCTTGTGGTGAAACTTGACTATGTCAATACACTCTGTGCCTATCACTTTCTGTACTTGGTACATACAGTAATTAGACACTGTAATATAAGTCTTTCCAGCAGACAGCGGTAGTGTTGTTTTTTTTTAAATTACACATTATTATATGTATATTTATGATTATATTTATATAGTTAAATTACATATTTCTAATTGATTGTAGGGCGCTGTGGCTCAGTTGGTTGGTTAATTGATTGTTTGAATCAACATTTGCCTCTTACATTTGTTGAATGCCTAAATGTTCTTGCATACTCCAGGATACGAATCAACATTCCGCTTTGGATTTTCAGCAGGTTTTAATTCTGACGCTGGATGTTGAAGCTTTGGTAGCGTTGGGCAGTCCCCTGGCAGATTTCTACCGGCATGTTGTCCTGTTCTGCAGTGCTGATGTACCAGTCTGGGAAGCGGGCAGACATGAGGGTGCTGATGTTCACACCAGTGTCCCGTTGGTAGAACAGAAATCGCACCATATCAGTTTCTGAGTTGATCCTCGATAGACTGTCTTTGTCCTCCACTGTCTGAGGTGTGAAAAGATAACTGTCAGAAGGTTTGAACACCATGCTGGAGGAATTTAAATAAGGGAGCATGTTTTTTTGATGATAACAATTCAGATGACCTGGTAGATGGAACCACTTTTCCTTAGTCACTGTTCTAGCTTTCAGAAATGTGGCTCACTGGACTGAGCTAGCCCTTTAACAGAGTGTGATGATTTCATGTAGGAGTTTTACCTCAAGATGCAGTGTTGGTTTGTCCTCTTCCTTATGGCACGACAGGTAGAGGTTTGTGTCTTTGATACCCAGAGCCACTGGTCTGGCTTCAGTGCTTGGTGAAGGGTGCACATAGGTTGACATATTCAGCTGAACTGTGGAGAGAACAGAGTATGCAACTCATTTTAATGAACACTAAAAGACTTTCTCAATATAAGACAAATGCATCTATCTTAATAGTTTACTAGAGAAACATTTTAATTTGTACAATGGATCTCAAGCCTTTTGGTCTGTGGCCTATTAAAACTCATCCCAGGCTTAAACAGAGATATTTGTGTCTTTGTTATATTAGTGGGTACTTCCCACCACTAGATGCCACCTCAGTCCACCATATAAATAATACAGTACTAGAGAAAACCTCAGGCATAAACATGTAAATAAATAAACCACCTTTCATCAGCTTCAAATTAAAACAATACTGTCATCACTTAATTCAAATATCTACTGTATCATGAATAACTTTCTCACACTGAGCTCTGACTGTCATGTGAAATTACTTTTACGGTTGTCGCTGCCTCCCTGCAGCATCACTGCATGGAGCTCCATGCTGTTATGGACCAGAATTAAACTCCTCTTCTGGCTGTCGGTCACGC